ACCTACAGACTCCTTGACCTCCCTGAGACTCAGTTTCTCCCTAGATAAAGTGGGATAACAATAAAATCTATATTGTGTAGTTGTCAGCAAATGACAGCCCTTGGGATAAATCTTCCTGCCCCCTGTCTGTACAGCCTGGGGGCTAAGCATGGCTTTTCCATTTTTGTAATGGTTGAAGCATAAATGAAAAGAAGAATTACATTTTGTGATGTAAAGTTATATGAAATTCAAGTGTTGAAAGTTTTACTGGCACATGGGCTTATAGGGCTGCTCTCGCTACCTGGTGGAGGTGAGTGCTGTGACAGAAACTGACCCACAGAGCCTAAAACATTGCTATCCCATTTTAGAAAAAGTGTGCCAACTCCCGGAACAACATAAGCAAAATGCTGAGCCAATGCTCAGCACAGGACGTGAGAGTTCTGGAGGTCAGGAAGAAAATCGGCCAACCAGTGTTTATGTGACTCACACTGCCCAGCTCACTCTGGTACATGTTAGTCAAAGGTGCAGAATTTTTCTGTAAACAAAAACCAGAACTGGGGCTTTGTTTCTCCATAGGACCTCTCCCTAGAATTTTCCTGAAAATTCCTTAACACTTTTTGAATTCTGGAATGTCAGAGGGGCTCCAGACCAGGAGGCAGATGCTCTTGTCCACCCACTGGGTCTGGCCTCAGTTTCTCACCTGTAAAATGATTCCTTCCTACAAAAGGTGTGCCCAAGAGTGCCCCATGCCTCACGCAAAGGGCTGGCATGTTCCTGGCACAGGGTGCTGCCAGGGGTGGAAAGTTTCTTCCTCGCCTTTCTGGAGTAGAGCTCTTGGCCACCGCAGGCCCTGTCTAGAAGTACTGACCACCCATCTATTAGCTCATTCATTTCCTCACCTATTTTCAATCTCCTCCTTTGTCCCAAGTCTCACCTTGCTGCAGGCTCCATTGTGGGCCGTCTTAATTCCAGACTCCTCTCGACAAAGGAGGAGGAAAATCTCCACCCAAACCTTCACCTGATGTCAATGTCATCTCTGAGCCTCAGTTTCCCCAACCGGAAAACAGAACTGATAATTTCCCTCTACCATGGGGCAATGAAGGAGGAGGACGCAGAGAGATAGTGTGGGAAATTATTTTCCCATGACTGAAAAGTTTGGTCCACTGTAAAGAGCCGAGAAATTGTTATTTAAGTGTCATCTTTCCTAACAATCAGGGTGGGAACAACCTGCTGTAGGTCACGCTGCTACAGAGTGACCCTGATGGGGCTCAATGCCAATGCCTCACAGCACTGCCTCTCAGGATGCCTTTTCTGAAAGGAAGAGGACACTGACCTTCTGTTTGCAGCCCGGGGAGATGCAGGGTTAAAGTTCTAAGGCCTCAGTTTCCCCGCTGGTTATCCGTCTGGGTGTGTGTCAGAATCAACTGGAGACCAATAATAATATCAATAACAATAATAACAGTACAATAACAATAACGATGCTGATCCCCGGGCCCCACCCCCAGAGAGTGACCGATGGGGCAAGAACAAAGGCAGGGCTCAAGTTGTGCTTGTTTTAACCCCTGGCTGCTCCCCGCTGATCCTACCAGCGGCATCCAGAGTTGACAACCAGTGGAGTGCTGTGTTCAAAGCAGGATCCGCCCCTGGGAGGCAGTGGATTCCGATCCTAACTCTGCCCTCAACCCTCTCAGTGCTCCGGAGCTCCGGGTGAGGAAGGGCAGGTCCAAGAGCTCCAGGACTGACCAGGGACACACAATTGAGTGTGACCCCGAGGCTGTGTGTGCTGGAGCCTGGAGCTCGATCTCAGAGGCCTCTCCTGGGAGCCTCTGTGTGGCTATCGAGGGGGCGACTCTAGTGGGAAAAGCCAATAGGGTAAGCAGGTGGCAGATGGAAATTTTCCGGGCAATCTTCCATCATGTTGGAGTTCATGACAACCTATCCCAGACGCTGCAGCCTCAGTGTTCTCACTGCTTTGCTTGGGGAGGATCTACTACCCCCTCATCTACAGCTCTCCTCTTGCCTCTGGCGCTGCTCTCTCTTACTTCACCCTTGTCTTCCTGGAACTCTGAGGACACTCTTGTTGGTCCTCATTTGCTTTTGATCTCTACAGGTCCCAGCCCTTGGCTCTCTTTCCTACCTTGCTCACTCCCTGAATGCCCTCAAGCAAGCTGGAAGACCAGCCACATTCTCAGAGCTGCAGGTTGAGCACCATCCTCCCCTGAGCTATGAAGCTGTCTGCCGGGTGCCCTTCCACTCAGGGTCTCCTGGGCTCTGACTCACAGAAGGGACCTGTTGAATCTCTGCTCCCAGCTCCCTGTCCCCCTCAGGCTGTTTCTATCAGCTCAGCAAAGGGCCCCAAATCTACCCAGCTGTTGAGGTCCAAAGCCCAGGTGCTACCCTCCAGCCCTCCTGTCCAATCCCAGCATTCCCAGTGCTTGAGCAGGATCTGCCAGCCCTGGTTTCCACGTGTCCTGGATCCACCTGCTCCTTTCCACCTCGTTCTACTGCCTGCTCTGAGCCATGATTCTCACTGGCCCCTGGTGTCCCCTGTGTCCCCTCCTGCCTGCCCACAGAATGCTGTATGTTCTCCATATGAGTCAAACGGTCTTTTCTCTAACGTCAGTCAGATCACGCCACTGAAGACCCTTGGTGGCTTCATTCATTCTTAAAATCCAAGCACTATGCCAGGGCCTACAGGGGGCCTCCATTCATCCTTCCACTCTCCCAGCACAAGTGACTGACTAATGAATGAAGAAGTGAACGAATGAATGAGTGAAAGTGTGCACGTGTGTGTGTGTGTGTGTGTGTGTGTGTGTGTGTGTGTGTGTGTAGGAACCTGGACTAAGAATTAAGAGACATGGACTCCAGCTCTGGCCACTTTGGGACACTGAACAATGCTTTGGTCCTTTCTGAGCCTTTGCTCTCAATATTTGGTAGACCAACTCTCACAGCATCCTATGGAGTAGGTGTTATCAGGCCCATTTCACAGATGAGCAAAGAAGTCCCATGCCAAGGTCACCCAGTGGTAACAGAGAGGGCCAGGGTTTGAACAACCATGCATTCTGGTTACAAAGCCCACGAATCTTCCTTGTTTCTGCTCTGCATGGGCCTCCTCCCTGGACCCTCCCTTTGCCTCCAGGTTGGGACCAGAAGCAAATCCACGCCCCACTGCACCCTGCATCCTGACTGGAAGCTGGGGCCCTTTCTTCTGCAGAATCCCCCTCCCCATTCTAAACCAGCTGCACGGTCTGGAGAGGATGTGTGCTAAGACGGACTGTCCCTACGGGAAACAGGCCTCCGGCCACACCCAGCTGCCTTCGGGAAAGGATTGGGTCAACTGCTACCCTGGTCAAGAGGGAAAACATCCCGCTAATTTGGTAAGTCTGGTGGAGATCTGCCTTGCATCCTCTGTGAAGTGAGCCAACTTCTTCCTGGTCTCCCCTTTAATCCAGTTTTTCAATCTTGGTGCTAACATTTTCCCTTAGAGAATTGACTGTCTTACACTTTGTAGGATATTTAGCAGCATCCCTGGCTTCTACTCAGTGCCAGAGCCGCCCAGCTGTCTAATTGTAGCACCTCAAAAAGTCTCCAGCCATGGCCAAACATCCCCTGGGGAGATAAACTGCCCTCTATGGAGAACTATTGTTCTAATCTGAATTACAGTCTGACCTGTAGCTGTTGAATTTTATAAAATGGGAACATTTATCCTAGATAGTCCTTTCCCAAGCTGCAGGCTTCTATTGGCAACTGCTTAGAAAGTGATTATTAGTCATTAATCACCTACTAGACACTGAGCATCACAAATCCAGCATAGACTAACTCAGTCTTCACAGCAGCCCTTTGGAGTAGGTATTATCATGACCTATCTTACAGATGAGAAAACTGAGGCCTGAGTTGAATAGGGGGGTTACCAAGGTCATGCACCTGGTGGAACACCTTACCACACCAGGATCTCTGCCAGGCAGTTACCCACATTCATGTCCTCTTTCAGCCCGGACAACTTTGTAAGCCATAGTGTTATGATGTTCAGGATCCAGGGGAGGAGACTGACCCATGCAAAACCTGAATTCACCAAGTGCCACAGCCGCAGTGATTGACAGAGCCAGGCTTTGCAGCCAAAGATACGGCAAAGCCCGCTTTCTTCCTTCTAGAGAGCCTCAAATACGCCTTCAGCTTGGGAGGTGCTCATGTGCATACTCAGTTCCACCAGTACTTTTCATGCCCCTTCCATGCCAAGCCCTGTGTGGTTAAACACATAGCTCTTTTCTCTTTTAGAGATGTGTGCTGAAATATCTAAGGATGAAATGGTGTGAGGTCTGGGATTCACTCTAAAGTAACCCAAGGTGTGGAGGGGAGGGGAGGTCACTGATGAAATGAAATTAGGGGTGAGTTGTTAGCTGTTGAAACTGGATAATAGCCATGTCTTTACTCTCATGAAGTTTCCATCATACGATGCTGTTGAGATGGTAAACATTGAGTCCAGCTTCCCACCTGGGGTTTAATCATGATTAAATTCCTTTGCTTTTTTAGACTCTGGCTTCCTCCCTGTAATCTGAGGACAATCATTTCCAGCTCACAGGGCTGTCTTAAGGATCAAGTGAGATAATATAAGGGAACATGGCAGCACCTTCACAGGGTAAGGACCTCTCCAATAATAGGGTTCCTCTTTTATTGTCATTGAGACTTCACTGTCTCCAAGGGGAGCAGAGACATAGCCTGGTGTCAGAACCCCATCCCAGTGGGAATTCTTGATCTCCCTCCAGCCCAAATGGCCAAGGAAGCCCCTAAGCCTTGTGGTGGCTTCAGAGAGACTCTAGTCCTGAGTTGCCACAGAGCAGAACGAGGATGCAGCTTCTAATCTCCATGAAGGACTCTGAGTCCACACAGGCCCTGCACCCTCACTGCCAGCTGTGATGAGGCCTCCCTTGGAATTCTCAGTGGCTGATCCGACATCAAGGTCCTTGCTGAAGTCACAGAAGAGAGGACACTCCCACCCATTCAGCTTCCCTGGTCCTCTCCAGGAGCTGGTCCCTTTCCTCACCTGCTGTCTGTGCTGATTGAATTTTTTCTACTGTTCCCAGACTCCCAGGACTTGGCCTAGTGTTGGAAAACCTCCAGGAATTTGGCTGGTACAGGGCATGGATAGCTGGCAGATGCTCTGCTCCCTGCTTGGTGTGGTCCACTTGCCTCTGGGCTGATGAGAAAGGATGGGCCTTGTCTCACACTCAGAGAGCAGCTGCTTGGGCACTAGGTCTCCACGCAGTGCTCTGCATTTCCCTGAGTCCCTTGAGGAGTCATGTGACTGATTCTGGCCAATGGGCTCTGAGAGGAAATGGCACATGAAACTTTAGTGCCAGCTATGCCTCCCCTCCCTTCTTTTCCCCAGATACGGTGACTTTAGAGACCTGTGTCAAGTGGTTTAAGAACACCATGGAGAAAGCAAACCCTTTTTCAAGGGGCTGCTGAGATCTGGGGTTCTCCAGCAGAGCCACAACCAGCCTGGGCAACCCAACAAAGCTGGTGTCCAATTCAGTTCCACCTCTAGAGTGAAGGCTGGCCACATGGCAGACTATGCTGGCTCATCCAAGCTCAGGTAAGCACTTCTGGGTGACAAGACTCTGTGCAGTGTCACATGTCATCCTTGAAGAAGCCACCAGTGTCTATAAATCCACAAGCAAAAGACACCTGGTCTGCACCTGAACCCCCACCACACACATCTCTTCCCTGATGCCCATCTGCACAGTGATAACACCTGACCATGGGTAACAGCTTCTAGCGCTCACCAATGGTCCTTCCAGTGTGATCAGACATGAACATGGTCTCAGGAACCCAGCAGTTCTGTGGCTAGAAGTGAGGGTAGTCTCATGGGGGGTGGGTAACTGCCCTTGCCTTTGCAGGCTCAGAAGCTTTTCTTGATTTGGGGGAACTTCCTTCTGCATCCTGGCTTCCTTCCATTCCCCTGGCTTCTAGCTGCCCTCCACTCTGTGAACTCAGACGCCACTTGAGTGGCTCCTGATGCCTCGTCTCAGATGGGTATTCAGTTCCCAGCTGTAGCTGAGAATGACTTTAGATAGCTCAAAAATTTCCCCCAACCCTACCAAGGTGCTGATCCAACTAGCTGGGGCAGGGAGGCATCAGAGAACTTTAAAGGTCCCACCAGGTTGAATACCCACTCTTGGGGGTGGGTACTCCTCCCCTGCCCCACCCCCAGAGCCTCTTTCACTGAACCTCAAGTTTTCTGCCGTTTCTCCGCTGCTAGGATGCTCTGAATCACCTTGGACGGGCCGTGGCATAGACTGGACTCTTGGAAAGAGCTCTGTTTTTTAACCCATTGAAACAGCTGCAACACACGACATCATTCAGGTCAGCCTGGCATGACAAGCGTATTCTTTTTTAACTATTCCTTGAATTCAATCCTAATTTCCACCTAGATCCTAGACTTCTTACCTACATGAGGGAAAATGTCTTTTTTATTTTTAAAGCTTTAAACAGTTCAGATCCCTTGTCACTCTCTATCAGAAGCTTCTGAACCTCCAAGGTTCAGGCTAGCAGTCAAGAGCAGGCTCTGGGGTCATTTGGGTCTGGGTAGGACCCCCACTCCAACACCTTGTGGTGGGAGACCTGGAGGAAGACACCCCACCTCTCACTAAAATGAGCTGTATTGAGAATGAAAAGAGATCATGTTGGCAGACTGAGTGGCACAGTATTTAGCACATGCAAAATGTAGCATTAGAAATATTATATTTAGTAGTTTTTCCACACACAGATCACCAAGGCTGCATGAAAAATGAGGGGACTGGGGGAGCACCGGTCTTCTGGCTGGCTCACTTCCTGCCTCGTAGGACCCCGGAGGGAGGGCCCCTGAAGCACGGGGAGCCACACGGCTGAGAGCGCTGTTGCGACCTGGGCCTCAGGCCGGCTGCCGCCACTCAATTGAGAACTACCACGACACAGAGAAACAATGACACAATTGGCTTACCATGCACTGGCTGCAGATGCCCACCCACAAACGTGTGTGAATCATTCAAACATGGAGAAATCCCTGGGAATATGTGCCATACAACGGGCCACTCTTGCTCCTGCCATTGAGAACCAGAAAGGTCCAGAGTCAGCCGAGGAGCAGCTGCTGAACAAGGACTCGGAGAACATGAGAATGCAGACTAAGCCCGAGGAGTCAGAGGTCTTGCGGACTGGGGTCACCAGAGCCACTCAGAAGCTGTAAACCAGGAGGACCTTGCACAATACTTGCAGAGACTCATTGGAAGCCATTCTTCCCCTGACAGTACAGGCTGTGGTGGAGCTCCAGAGAAGTCTGCAGCAGGATTCCTGTTGCCTGTGCTGACAGCTGGGGAGAAGACACTAACTGGTTGTGGGGTCCCAATGCAATGGGAGGCTGGAGAGAAAACGCTACAAAAAATGGCTTTAGCCCCAGATGACTCACTTGATTTTTGACAACCCTTAGGCTGTAACTACTTGTTAGGTCCTTCTTGCATATCTCTGTCTTCCTGAGAAACCACTTTGAAGATACCACCACGTATTAGAGCAGCCATTGATATTTTCCTACTAATCTATCCATAACTCTGCAATGTTTGTATTGTTCCTATCCTATTTCGTAAATGGATGCATGTCTATCATTATATGTTTCCTACAACAACCAGTGAGAAAAGTTGATGATTATTCAATAGGTCACTCATGTATAGCTCTATTTATTTTCTTTAGAAGCCACTTTGAAGATACCAAAGTATAGCACAACAACTATTGATAATCCCCTACCTCTTTTGTCTGTAACTCACTATTATTTGTCTATTTGTTTTCCTGAGAAACTATCTTGTAGATAACAATATATGAAACAATAACCATTGATAATTTCCTACCACTTTGTCTGTAATTTGGTAAGCCCCCCCTATTATTATGTTATCCTTCCTTTACTCTTTAAAATAAAAACAAAACAAAACAAAAAAACGGGACCAAGAAGACACAGAAGCCCTGGAGTCCACGGGCAAGCAGATAAGGAAAGATTCCCAGGGTCATGCCAAGTCAGGGTCCTGGTGCTGCCAAGAACCGGTGGTCAGACGAACCCTCCTTACTTCCGGGGAGACAGATCTAAAGCCTTGTCTTCTGGCCACAGAACCATCATAAAAGGTCCTTTTCATCCGGCGAGTAAAAGGAATCTGTTTTATTTTTCTATTTTTGTAAATCTCTGCCCGGCCCTGAGGTTAACCCCATGGTGGAGGCAAACGGCTGTGTAGCAGCAGAGGCCGTGGGCACCTACAAGCCAGAAAAAAGATCCTTCTCTCTGAACAGAGGAACCAGACAGAGCGGCCCCATTTAGTGAAGCTACGAGAGTCCAGAGGGTTTGGGGTTTTGAAACCTGTGGTCTCTCATATCTTTTCCCTGAGGGCAGGCCAGTCACATGCAGTGGTGTGACAGTGTGGGAGACTAAAACACTAAAAGAACCCCATTTTTTCTGGCCAGGAGGGCCAGACAAGTTTTGAGAGCCAGAGGATGTGGCAAAAAATTTCCAAAAAGAGAGGGATGGGAAAGGAAATTCCTAGTTCTGCATATAAACTGAGCTTTAAGTGGTGCATATGTGGAGACACATTTAAGAATAATAGTCAAGCAAAAGCTTTGGGACGGAGTGATGATATAAACCACTGCCCAAGTCCCAGCTCACCCTTGAAAGGCAGAGAGAGACAGATCTGAACAGCACAGCAAAGGCTTTGGAAACTGCGTGGCCATGAGCAGGAACCACTCCCAAAAGGCAGCCAGATCTTGAAATTAGAATTTAAACAGATTGAGGATCTACTAAATAGAAACAACCAGACAAACAAAATAATAACCAAAAAGCTAAATATCAAAATCAAAAATCAAAATAATAATCAAAAAGAGAAACTCCAGAGGATATGAAAGGGACCCAGGTCTTACAATGTAGTATTGAAAAAGTCCAAAATTACTTGCCATGCTAAAAATCAGGAAACTCTAATTTTCCAAGGAAAAGACAATGGATACATTCTGAGCCTGAGACAGTTCATGTACTGGGATTATCAAATACCTCAGTGCAGCTGTTCCAACCATGGCCTGTGAGATCAAGGTGCGCATATTTGAAATGAATGAAAAATTAGACATTCTTAGTAGAGAAATAGATGCTGTGAAAAAGAACCAGATGGAAATTATATAATTGATACATAGTATCAGAAATGTTCTCCCCAAAATGACAGAATGAATGTAATATAGAACAGGGGTCACACAGAACAGTTCTTAAATTTGAGGGCACATCAAGAGATCTATAATCTGAAGAACAGAGACAAAAGGATTTCAAAATGTGGGCAGAGCCTCAGAGACCTGTGTGGCCTAAAGAAAAGACCTGACTATTTGTTATTGAAATCTTTGAATGGAAAGAGTAAAACATGGACACGGAGAAAATATTTTTGAAGATAATGGTTGACCCAGGGGAAAAAAAAAAAAAAAAAAAAGATAATGGTTGAAATATCCCCAAACTTAGTGAAAAAATATAAATACACAGATGCAAGAGGTTTGGTGAACCCTAAACAAGACAAGCCTAAGAAAACCATGCCAGGACATAACTGAATCAATCTTCTTTTTATTTTTTATTTTGAGATGAGGTCTAAGTTGCAAGCTGGCCTCAAACACACAATCCTCCTGCCTCAGTCTCCTTATTAGCTGGGATTATTGGAATATGCTACTGCACCTACCTGGTATCAAACTTCTGACAATTAAAGGCAAAGAGCAATATTTAAGGCAGTCAGAGCAAAAAATAATAATACACATCACACAAAAGCAATAATGCAAGTGACTGCAGATATATTATCAGAAACCATAAAAGCTAGAAGACATTGGAGCATGCTTTTTAAAAGAAAGTAGCTATCAACTCAGAATCCTATATTTAGCAAAAACATCCTTCACAAAAGACAGCAAAAAAAAAAAGATGTCCTTTGATAAGAAAAACTAAGAGAATTCTTAAGTCGCAGATATCCTTTAAAGAAAAGCTAATGTAAGTTTTTTCTGGCTGAAGGAGGCAGCATAAAAGGAAGAGAGAAATAAAAGAAGATACAAAAAAGAAGCTACAAACAAAAATGTAAATGGGCAGACCTAAGTCAAGTAATATCCCTCATTATATTAAACGTGAAAGGTCTAGACACAGACTTTGAAATACAGAGATCATGACAAAAACAATGATGCCTATGAGGAACTTGTTAAATAGCTATAGTCCTACAGCTCTGGAAAATATCCAGAGGTATACTGCCCAGCTCTTTGCCATCCAATATTTATCAAAAGCACAGTTTTCAAAAACTCATGTTATTGTAACTTTCTTGATGGTTTTACCTTCTTTCTGTAGCTATTCCTAAAAGATCTGTAGATCAAGTGAAGTCATTGAGGGTAGTGTCCTCATTATGAGAAATTACTTATAATCCTTGAAGCTTTTCTTCGTAAATTTCTTGTTTTCTCATTGATATCTATGCTGATATAACTCATCAGGTTTTTCATTTGCCATTGGCTGCTAGGGAGCTCTCCATGAACCTCTCTGTAATGTTGTAAGCAATCCTACCATAAAAGGCCCTAGGATCAAATGAGTTTGTGAGACACAGGACTAAGGAAATCTAAGATGGTTTCTTTATTCTGTGATCCCTAATCTTTACAACCACTTTGGAAGCTGGTGCCAGTTTTATGGATGAGGAAGAAATCAAGGCCTCAGAGGTTTGGGCCACTTGCACAAGAGTCTCATGGTGGCTTCAGGATTGGGTGACATTTTGAAGTTCTGCCAACTGTCCCACCCAAGCCTGGATGAGCCAAACCATGGTCAGCCTGCAAAGCCATGAATGTGAAAACTGGTGCTTACTACTCCCTTAGTGCTCTACTTCCACTTTGGGGTCACAGCCTAGGATGACGGACAGGCACTTGCATCCATGTGGGTCTGGATTTGAATCCCTAACTCTTTGCATCTCTAGCTAGAGGACTTGGAGACACTCACTTTTCTCCCTGCTCCATTTCCTCATTGGTGTAGTGGGACTAATGGTGCCTGCTTCATCAGGACGTTGGGAGGTCGCTGACATGGTAAAGATGGAGCCTCCGGTACGTAAATGTTAGCATCTTTCCCCTGTGGAGCTCATGCTCCTCCTCACATCTTCTGGGGTTGCATGTGGCTGAAACCCTGTGAGGGGCCCTGCACTGCGGGCTGCTTGGCCGGTGTCACACGTCCCTACTGCCTTTGAAGTTCCATGTGGCCGCATGACTTGTGTTGGCCCGCGGAGTGTGACAGCAGTGTCCTGGGCTTGGGCGGAATAAGAGCCAGGACACAATTCACCACCCCTGCCGAGCAACTGGCAATGCTGTTGGACACCCCAGCCTCCAGAACCGTGAGACAAATAAACTTTCATTCTTTATAAATGACTCAGTCTTGGGTGTTTTGTCACCGCAACAGAAGTCAGACTAAGATAATAGGCAGCAGACCTAGTATGAACAAGAACAAAACAAGCCTGTGGTGTTTCAAGCCACCAACGTGTGGATCTGTTGGTGACCGTGCTCTGTCCTGATACAGTGTAAGAAGCTGTGTTTCCATTTGAAAGGGGGGGCAGTGGAGGGGATGTGACTTGCCTACACAGAGGGCTCCTGGGACCAAGGGTGGGGCTTGGTCTGAGGGAGCACATTTTGATCTTTCAGGGGAGACAGCAGTGCTGACTGGGTCTCTGAACACACTCCCTGTAGCCTCTGAAAAGTGAATCTCCTCCCCAGCAGCTGCTGACATCATCAGGAGGAGAATGACCCTCTGTTCAGAGCAAGCAAGTGGCAGCATGGGAGGGGAGAGGGTGGCGCTCTGGAAGCTGTCCTCTTGGGAGGACCAGATATTCTAGACTCAACTCTGTGACAGGTGGGGTCGTACTCAGTCCCTCTGCCCTGTGCATCCCTCTCACCTCAGTGGTTCCATCTATCTTCTGCCTAAGAGTCCCTTTTCCTTACTGGTGAATTTTGCCCAAGAAAGGCTGGAAACTCATCCACCGGAAGCTGATCAGGGTAAGCAGGAAGAGAGACTGCTGTGTTATGTGGCATTACTGTGACAATAGTGGCTGATACATGTTTCTATCCAACATTTACCTCCCTTTTTCCTTACACAGAAATCTGATTTTATTCTGGGCAGTAGCGAGCTTGTGCAGAAGACTACATTTCTCAGTTTTCCTTGGGATGTACATTAAGTTTTTTTTTTTTTTTTTTTGGCAGGGGGGAAGTTGGAGAGCCATCTTGGGGTCTGCGAGGGTAGCGGCTGGGCCTGCGACCTACCTGCTTGGTGTCTTTATGCTGACACTGGGTTGCTTTCTCAGCACTGGTTTGTGTTAAGCTGGTCTTTAGCTTAGCTGATCACCATGACAACCTGGAAGATCCTTAGAGACCCTCTAGTCTGGTTTCTAAAAACATGGAAATTGGGTCCAAGAGGGGAAGCAAATTGTCTCAGGACACATAGTGAGTCAGCTGCTGGGCTGAGGAGAGAATTTGATTAGTTCTAGGCTCTCCCCACATCTTCCTGACTTACTGAGTGACAGGTGCCTAGGTGGCCGAGGAGAGGATGGGGAAGGGACATGGTACAGGTTTCCTACAGGGCTGGTATGGGGCTTATCATACCTCAGGAACTCTGCAGAGAAGGGGAACCTGGGGACAGCTTCCAGTTTGTCCCAAAGCCAACCCCATTCTGGGCCGTGCCCTGGACAACTTGGACTGGGTTGAGGGGACTCAGGTCAACAAGAACCTCCTATCAATTCTTCAGGTGTGATTTCTCCCAATTCCCCCACTTCCTGTTCAGAAGATCATCTGAAGAAGCCAGCACCCTGTAATGCCAGGGAGACCCCAGTTTAGGTCCAAGGAGCATGAGTGGACACTGCTGGTCCCTGCCTAGGCCTTTTCCTAGGCCAGTGCTCCTGTCCCCAGAGTGCAGCCTCATAGCTAAGGGCTCTCAGCTGTGCCTCTCCCCGGGGGAACTCCCTCAGCCCACACAGCTATTTCACTTGGAGACCCTGCAGAGACAATGCCCACATCCCAGGGGTAGGCTGCAGCCAATTACTGGCAGATATGGCGTAAAAAGCCAGCCCCTGTGTTCACAGTGGGACAAACGCTGGTGTTTCAATGCTAAAATTCCCTGTCACATCATGCTGAGCTGGACTCTCAAGCTCCTTTGCTTAGCTCTTCCCCTGCCCTACTGCAATCCCTTTACCCGCTTCTAGATTTCTCTCTAGAGCTCTCCATCACCGGTTCACCTGCCCAAGAACCCCCATGTCAGACTCTGCATCTAAGGCAATACGTAAGCTTCTGAGCTTTCTTTCATCTCCCCGACCCCATGTGCTGGGAGAAAGCCACTGAGGGTCCCAAACTTAGGGGCAGAAGTTTACTCTGGTGAAGAGGACTGAGGTTTCCCTTTGTTCTGGGACACTGGGCTGTTCTCATGAGTTCAGGGGCTACTCTTACCCAAGTCTGCTGATCAGACATTAATCAGGCATCCACTACCTGCCCAGCAACTGCGTGGGACACTGGGAAACATAGCGGGGTGCAAGGGAGACAGAGTTCCCTGGCCCTCTCAATTAAGTTAAAAATCTCCCCACGACACCCTTGAGCCCTCAGCCACACAATAGAGTACACGGAACCTTCCAAATGCTTTTAATTTCTTTTAATGTATAACAGTTATGCCTGAGTTACAGAGGCAGCGCTTACAAGCAGCAGGTAGTTAAAGCAAATACCAGTTTCTCTTTCTAGTCTACTACTCCATATAGCTGAATAAATTATGATGTGATTATATTTAAACACACGCCCACACGCACACACCCCACTCACACCCTCACACACACACACACATACACTCTCTTCCGCGTGGAGGAAAATGGCTGTGAGTCAAACCCAGAAGCAACGACATTGTCGTTACTAGGAAGAAGGAATGATCTAGAGCACTATGTGAGTATATTTCCCAGGTTGGGTCGGGGTTGGGATTGGATTGGCCATGTCAGAGCTGAGAGAAGAAGCATTAAATACACAGATGTCTTGGAGCATTTCAAGATGGCGGCTGGAATACCTCCATTTGGTCTTGGTTTGGTTCTTCTGTAGGAGGGGAGGGAAGAAGACCTGTGGGCCCCCAAAATGTAGGAAACACATATTCAGGAACTGGGTGAGAACATCAGGCCTGAGAGAGTATCCAGATGTAGTTTTTTTAGATGGCAGTCATGGAGTTTCCCACCAAGGTCGTGGGTCCAAATCTCAGAATGTCTCACCAGCTCCATCCATGCCAACAACAGATGCTGGTGGAGGCCTCCAAGTCAGGATCTGTCCTGTTCTCCAGCCATAGTCAGGTTGGCAATCAGACCTTTTCATTTGCCTTCTGGGAAAACCTTTCATTCTTCTCTCCTTCTCTCTTATTCCCTTATTTCTGTTTCCTCTACTCTTTAACGTTCCTCTGGCAAAAGAACAGCAAAGGTGAATCAAGTAAAAAAGAAGAGTATAAAAGCATAGCTTGGTTCTTACACGTCACTTTTTCTTTTTCATAGCAACAGAGATACCAAAGAAAGAACAAAGCAACAAAAATTGGAAGACTCCAGGAGAGCCCGGAATGTATAATCTGAAACACACAATATGCAGATATATCCCTACAGATGGTCCCTGGCACTAGCACGACACACACTGTGGGGGTTTCTTTCTTTTTTTTAGTATATATATTTATATATAAAAAGTCAACTTCCTATAAACAAACAGCACATCACCACATTTCCAACTAATGTACAATGAGCTTAGAAGAGGGGCCCCCATAGGTAGGACCAGTAGCTACTCGGGATAAATTGGAGAAGAAATCTCTTATGTTGCTATGAACTCTATTTACAGGGATGGGGGGCTGCTGCTGACAAACCCCAAAGAGATGGAAGCCTTGTGCCTCTGGTTCAATTAACATCATCTCTCTGGTGAAGTTGTGAGCTACTAACACAAGGCTGAGTTTTATAGACTTGAGTTGGATAGACACATGAATACAGGGCTTTTAAGGGAAAGGTTTTCGGGTCAAGGACCCCAGAGAAAATAAGTCCCATTTTGTATCAAGATGGTGGCTTGAGACAGCTTCCGAGGTGTTAGATGTAGTGAGAATCATTTGGTTTATTCCCAAGCAGATCTTCGTTCCATTTCATCAGGGGGGTCGGGGTGGGCATCAGGTCACTGAGATTGGTCCTAGTTTTGGAATGCTACCTCCTGGATGGGTGAGACAGTTTTGATGTCACCTGCCTGAGATTCCTGCTCTTGAGTCACAGAAAGTAGAAAGAGACTCAGGCATATCCCGAGCCAGGCCTCCAGGGGGAAAGAGTGACCCTTCAAGGAATGTGGATGAAGATGCGGTTGGTCTTCTGGAAGAACTGCTTTTTGGGCTGTGATAGCTACAAAAGCATGGACTAAGTTTCCAAGGGAACAACATGATCGCCCCTTCCGTCCAGAGCTTGAAGAAACCACAGTCTCTTGCACTGGACACTCCAGTTGAAACCTTGGCTGCCCTTGATGGGACACATCTGTCTGGCTGCCTGCTGCTACCAGACAGTCTATTTGTCCCTAGTTATTAATAGGTTTCCCTTAACAACAGGTACAAGCCAGCCTGCTCGTGGCCTGAGATTGGCTTGAGGTGACTAGGTTTGCAGATGGAAACAGGTGAACATTTGTCACACAGTCGACATCCTTGGAGATGTTCTAAGCATCTTGCCAAGAGGAAGGATCCAGATTAGCTCCCAAGGCAGAGCCCTTCCCTCTAGGAATGTCTTGCTGGCTGAGGGCCAGGAGCATGGACTGAGCAAAGGAGGCCTTACAAGCCCAGCTGGAGACGAGCAACTGGGCCCAATGTTTGTGGATTCAGGGCTGTGTCTCCCTTACAAGTTCCCGTACCCAGCAGCACTTGTAAAGGTGATCCAAGCACAGATGATGTGATGGGGAGGGTGAAGATGGATACAGTCGTGAGAAACAAGCGAAGGTGGCGAAGAGTTCCAAGGGAGGAGGATGAAGGGCTCGAATTGCCCCCGAAAGGTCCCAGCTGTCAAGAGAGCGGTGCTTGAGGAAACCACTGGGTGGTTAGGGAAGGTGCCTTTCTCCTCTTCTCTAGAGCCTTTGGCATTTTCCTCTGTCCAGGGATGGTGGCTTGAAAACCGGCCATGTGTCCCCCAGCTCGTGAAGGAGACCGAGGCCTCTTGGCCAAGTGAGTCGACCCTGAAAGATGTCACTCTGGGTGGGACAGGGACACGCTCCCACCAAAATGCCAAGGAGATACAGGAGTCTATCTGGGAGTCCAAGAAGCCTCCTCCAGAGCTCCAGAGGAAGCTCTCTGAGCTTCAGCAGCACCCACGGACCGGAGGGGAGACGGTGGTCCCTTCCCAGGGCGCGGGGCTTGGCGCCTGTTGGAGGCTTTGTGCAGAATTTAATTCCAGGGCTGAGAACTGGAAGGTCATGGGGTGAACCCTTGGCCTCAAGGGCTGGCCACCCACAAGCACACAAAAGCCCCTCTGAGCCCGCCTTGTGCCTCTTCCTCCTGTAGCCCCAAGACCGCCCCTTCCCACCTCATCTGACCCAGCTAAGAGGGCAACACAGGGGTCTCTGGGCTCCCCAGTCTCTGCCTGTGGTGGGCAAGGCTGGAATTGGGTTTAGAGGCCTGAGCTGAGTCCTGGTACCCTGCGCCAGCACCCTGCCCAGCAGCCCCCCCCCCCACACAGCCCAGGGCCCCACATGGGTCAATCTCTTCCCAGTAAGGATGTAGGGGGAAGGTTGTGTTCCAAACTCCTGGGTGGAGCTGTGACTGGTACCCTGCCTACCGCCTGAGAAGATCAGGGTCTCCTGTCTACTGGAGCCCCAGTGTCCAGTGGAGCAGAAGGTTGTGGTTCTAGGGCTCAGCCAGGGGCTCACCTTGCAGGTGGCTCCCAGCACATACAGCTGAGAGCTACTCTGAGCTTCACCTACTTTTCTGGCCAGCACACACCCAGGACCTGGGGCCAAAGGGCTCCGGGACCTCATCTCAGCCACTGTCTTCTCGGGGTGTAAGGTGCTCTGTTCAGGGGGAGCCTCGGCCTCCTGAGATAGCACTGCCCTCCCCGTTGGCAGGCTTGATTGGGGAGCACTGTGGGCTGGCTGGGAACTACCAGGGGAGGAAGCGGGCAGACTCTGAGGGGGCCACGCAGGGTCCCTAACCACAGGTGGGTGACAGGCTGGCTGCACATCTCCAGAGGGCTGCCACTGAGAAGGGATGGGCACCTTTCCTGGCCTCCTGTGACCCCAGGGGATGAGGGGACTGAGGTGGGGAGGCTCAGGGGTCAGGACGGGCTGGGCCGGGGCTTGGGCTGGGGCAAGTCGCCCCAGGCACCCTAGTAGGCCTGGCCAGTTTCCACAGGCAGGAGTCCCAGCACGGTGGAGTGCTCCCCAAGCTTCATGCGACGCTGTGTGGACAGGCTCACGTTTTTGGCCAGGTAATCAACAGCAGCTAGAAAAGACAGAGAAAGAGAAACTCCTAGAAATTAATGTTCTTTTGGTCCATTTTTCCTTTCACCATGCATCCATCCATCCATGCATTCATCCACCCATTCATCTGTCCTTCCATACATATATTCATCGTTCTGTTACCTGTTCTAGCCACCCATCAATCCACCTATTCATCATCCATCCATCCATCCACTGCCCATCTGTTCTTCTAGCCACCCACTTGTCTGTCCATCCATCTATCCATCCATCCATCCTTCTGTCCATCTGTTTTTCTAGCCACCCATCTATCCATGCATCCATCCACCTATCCATCATCCATCCATCCACCCATCTGTCCATCTATCCATCCATCTACCCATCCATCCATCCATTTGTCTGTCCATTCATCTTTCACCCATCTATACATCTACCCCATCCATCCATCCATCTGTTCATACATCTGTCCATCTATCTGTCTGTCCATCCATCCATCCATTCATATATCCATCCTTCTGTTCATGTTTTCCTAGCTACCCATCTATCCATGCAACCATTCACCTATCCATCATCCATCCATTCATCTGCTCTCTGGCCACGCATCCATCCATGCATCCATCCACCCTTTCATTCATCTCTCCATCCATCAACTCATCTATCAATCTTTTTCTAGGCACCCATCCATCCATGCACCTATCCATCACCCATCCATTCTTCTGTCCATCTACCCATCTAACCACCTTTCCTTTCTTCTCCCCTTCTTCTTCCCTCACTCTCCTTCCTTCATCTCCTCTTTCGATCTCTTCATGTAGTTCATTCTCTCACTTCCTCTCCATCATTCAGCAAATATTTACTTAACATTTATTATTTGCCTGCCTCTCTTGTAGGTCCTCAGGGAAGTACAGGTGGGAACCCACAGAGTTAAGTGAAGAATTACTCCCCCTTCCCACAAGCCCTCCTGACTATGAGGGATGGCCAGCGAGTCCCACTGAGTCCCAGCAACAGAGGACAAAGTCTTTCTGCTTCCTTCTGCCTTCTGTAGATCCTGAGCACAGCTCATGGATTTTGTGCAGGACTCTTGCACAAAAGCCAAAGCAGCTTTTGTGGGTGAGCTGAAGGGTTCATGCAGAAGGAGGTGCCATGGCCCTGTATACAGAAAGCTGAGGCCTGTCTGAGGTGAGGGGGTTAGGTCTGTGTGTGTGTGTGTGTGTGTGTGTGTATGCGTGTGTGTGTGGTGCACACTTGTGTGTGTGAACAGGGTACAAACAATGGAAACAAGAATCTCCATGCAGCAGTAACAGGCATGTGTGTGAATGTTCGCACAAGAGCAATACTCAAATGTGTGCACACGCTTGTATGAGTCTTGCACACCTCCCTTGTGCCATCTCTGAGCACAAGAGCAGGGGCAATGCCTGTGCAGGTGCAGGCACTGTGTGCAGGCGAGCTCCACACCTATCTGTGTTCAAGTGCAGATGTGACCTCTGGCCTGCAGGGACCTGAGTCCTGTTCTGACAGCTCTAGTGGAGGCTACAGCAGAAATCAGCACCAGGAGACGTGGCTGGCTTGTGGCATGACTTCTGGAGGCACAGCTGTGGCCAACCCACCCTCCTGGGACTGCAGAAATCCAGAGGTGAAGGGGAGAGGAGAAGAGCACTGCGCTAGAGTCACCAGGGGCTGTGTCACAAGCCTTAAGCTTCCCTGAGGTTGGAGGCTCCTGCCTGGGGAAGGTGGGTGGGGCAGGAGGTGTGGGTATGGCCTGAAGGGTAAGCCAGGCAGGCAATACCAACCACTGAGCCAGGGAAGACCCATTGTTTGGTTCCTCCTAGGACATGTCTTCAAATCCTGAGCCTCCTACTTCAAGAATTTGGGACACAGCACCTTACCACCTAAGCCTCAGGGTCCTTGTCTGTAAAATGGGTATATTAATAGCACTGAGGGTAAAGAGCTGGGAGGAAGGTTCAGTGAGAAAATATTCATTAGGGCCATGTCTGGCAGCTTGTGAGCTCAAAAGCCAAGGGTTCAAGCACAGTGGGATGCGAGGACTGGGATCTAGTAAGTAAATGTGATCTTTGATGGGGACCAGAAGGAAAGGGTGCAGCCACCTCCTGCTCCCACGGGTTTGGAGGTCATTCTTCTCTCTAGGGGGCAGAACAGAGCCCAGATCCTCAGGGCTGCTGCTACAGAGGTCACATGCGACAATGTTCTTTAAGATGCTCCCTGGGTCGCAGAGGGCCCAGGGAGCACAAGGCCTTCTTGATTCCTAAAAGATGTGCAAATGCCCTGGGGTCTCTTTGGCATGCCAGGACCCTGTGCCCCTCAGCTTGCCGGGGGCTCCAAGGTGGGTAAAGGGGCAAGTTAAAGCTACCTACGGTCTGTGCTGAGCCTTGGGTGCTGCCAACCTCACCCTGAAGCCACGTGGCCTCCAGACTCCCTGCTGGTGGAGGGGAGGTGGCTGTGCCAGGCCAGTCCCTTACTGTGGGAGGGGCTGTGGCACTGCCATCTCCGGCTTTGGGAAGACCCTGCAGCTCTGGCTACACCATCTCATCTTTCTCCATCCAGCCAGGAGGCCCCATCTCAGAGGGGTGCCACAAAGAGGAGCAAGAGGAGGCCCAGCCCCGGCAAAGCACCCACTCTGACCAGGGCCTTCTGGCTCTCAGCACTGGATGGCCACTGTTGGCTGCATTTGCATGGCCACTCTACGAGGCCAGGACACAGGCGCCCCCCGACTGCAGACCACGGAGTCAAGGTCCTGGAGGTGGGCGACATGCAGGGTCACAGGGCTCGTAGGTTGTGAAGCCAGGATCAAGCCCAGGCACTCTGGAGCCAGCTCCCAAGGAGTACCCAGGCATTGCCAGCAGCCCTGTGCACCGTGACCGTGTATGTGCGCATGGCATTTGAGGGTGTGGGAAACACTCCCCACCCAATTTTTACTCCAGGCAACATCAGGAGCCTGGGCAAGGGAACACAGCCAGCTCTGGCGACCTGCCCCTCTGCTGCAGAAAGCTGCTGCCTGGCCGGCCTATTCCACAGCACACCAACCCCTGACACTACCTCTCCAGCCCTTCCTGCAGGGGAGTCGGCCAGGCCTGGTAAGAAGTCAGAGAGACTCTGCGAGGCTGAGGCAGGAGGATCACAAGGTTAAGTTCAGCTTGGGCAACTTAGTGACTTAGTGAGATTCTGTCTCGAAAAATAAAAAAGGGCTGGGGATAGAGCTCAGTTCAAAGGCCCTGCGCTCAATTCCCAGTCCCAGAGGAAAAAAGAGACGGAATGAGAGACCTGGATTAGTGAATGCTTACTACGTGCTAGGTGGCTCTGATCCCATTTCATTCTTTCAATAGCTCCTCGCTTTGGGTAAGATTTTTTCCATTTGACAAACGTGCAAACCACGGCAAAGGACCCTTGCTGGTCCGGTCACGCACAGCACGTGACGTGGAAGAGCTCGAATTGGTCCCACCTGTGCCTCTCTGCACTTTGTGTGTCTCCTCTTCTTCCAGCCCCGGGCTCAGCACACAGTAGGAGCTTGCCTGGGCCCTGTCCAGGTGGCCAAAGAAACTCCAGGACACCAAACTTTACTGATGACCCAGCCACCTTCAAGGGCACCCAAGGGCCACGGAGCCCGCCTGTCCCTGGGGTGAAGCCTAGCGGCTGGCAAGGGCGGGGCTGCGACATTCCTCATTAGGGCCTCTGTCAGGGGCCCTCCCCGTCCCCGTCTCTCCGTGTGTCCCCTCCTCTGCCTCTCGCCCGCGCCTGGGCTCTAAACGTCTCAAATTAGATTAATCAGGAGTTGGCAGGAGCTATGGCTACGGTGCCAACCAGTAAACAAATCTCAGCCGTCAGCGCCTCGTCAGCCGGCGGCCCCAGAGGAGGACCCTTCTAGACACAAATTCTTATTAGACTTGTCAGATCTATTAAAATTCTTTTCACACTTCTGCGTCTTATCAGCCCCATCATTAGTACGGCCCTGGCCTCTGGGAACACCAGGGCCATATTAATCTGCCGAGTGCCCCATCCCTGGCCCCCGGCCCCGCCCCCTCCAGGGACAGGAAGAGACAGACAGACAGATGGACAATAGCCGGAGCAGGAAAAGAAGGTGAGAAGGTGTCCCCGGAGGGCGAGAGGCCTGGGGAGAGGAGGAGGGCTGCCCCGTGCCGGAGTTTCGGTGCCTTCCGTGCACAGCGGAGAGGCGCCCTCCTGGGGCTGGGCGCTGGCTTCCGCTGCTGCTGCTGCTGGGTGACCTCCCGCAGACAACCTCTGGGATGCCGAGTGTCACCTGTGTGAGGGGAGGGCCGTGCACACTGCCAGGGTGGCTGAGGCTCAACTTCAGGCCCACAGCGGATGCTCAGCGAGCGGGCATTTCTCCTTCCTTGGTCCTCACGCGCCTATATGTTTAGATCTTGCATCCGTGTGTGCCCGCACATTAGTGAATGAGGAGTCTGCCTTTCAGCCAGTGTCCTGTGGGCCAAGCCACGCCCAGGACAGATGTGAGCAGGTGACGATGAGCCCTGGCACACACACAGTTTGGGACGTGTGACTCTTCGTGTGCTCTGTGGGATGCCAGCCGTACATGCAGTCAGTGGCCCCTGGACTCGGGGTAGGAAAAGGTTAATGGGGACACAATGTGTCTGTCCCGGGGTTGCCCTGATTGTCAAAGGCGAGGGGGGATGCGGTGTTGGAAAAACTTGGAGGCGATAAATCTCATCCCTGGCCCCCATTTCACAGCCGGAAAGACTGAGGCTGAGAGGCAAGTGTGTGACTCAGTGGTGGCCAAGAAGCAGCCATTCCAGCCAACCCCACAGCCTCCTTGGGGTGGAGTCCGTGCGGAGCTTCTCCTTGGGTAGGGCTGGAGGAGGTGGCCCTAGAGGAGCTGGGGCACACGGGGGGGGGGGTGAGGGGAGGAGGAAGGCGGAGGGAGGCGGGGGAGGGCATCGCCCTGCCAGCTTTCCTGGCCAAGGGGGAGCAGGCACTCCTTTCTCGCCTCCTGGGCCCTTTCTCTTTTGATCCCCTCCCCCACCGCCCCCATGCTGACTTTGGGGTTAATTTTATTTCCGAATTGGGCAGGCGCCCCTGGAGCGCTGCGCAGGCCCTGGGTGTGACTAACGCCTGCCTGGGGCCGGTCCTGCTGCCACCGCACTGTTCTCAAATCTTTATCAAGAGCATGTGTGTCCCACTTGGAGCAGGGAACATGCGCAGGGTCAGGGGGTCGCTGGGCCCCTCTGGGGACGCTCCTGCACACACAAGTGCACCCTGCTCTCCGACAAACACCCTGTGCACACACGGGCACACACGCAGCGATGCGCAGACACACCACACAGGCACATGCTGATGTGTATGCCACACCTGTGCACACATCCACACTCACAAGTGCAGACACATCAAGCATATGTCCACACCTGTGCGCACATCGACACACACGGGCACAGCGCTGCAGATGTGCACGTGCACGCATGTCTATGCACACACACACGCATGCTTATTATACATGTCTACATGGGACATGTGGGCATATATGCCAGGTGCAGCACATACATAAACATGCTCTGCCCTAAGTATATACCTGCATGCACATTTGAACACATGTGTGTTACCATCACATGCATATGCATATATGTGTGCTTATGTGTTCATACACACAGACCCATGTGGATAGCATATGTGCACAATGTGGTCATTTATGTGAATATGTGTGAGAATCACACACAATACACTCACATGCGTGTGCTCATCACGTTTACACACACATGTAACTTGTCTGCAAAGATGCATGTGCTGCACGGATGATCAGACACGTCCCATGTACACAGGACACACTCGGATGACCACATGAATTGTAACTCTTGCCCCGTATATGCATTCACACTCACATACAAATGCGCACACACAAACAGAAAGGGTCCGTACGCACAGCTGGGAAGTGGAGGCTGACACAGCTGGCCCTCATTTAGCCATGGAGGCCAAGGCCAGGGGAAGAGGAGCAGGTCGGGGGGCACAGGGACAGAGGTCAGTGAGGCCGGCCAGGCTGCTGGGGACAGGAGGACGCCGCGGGCACGGAGGCCTCGCTGCCCCCGACTTCTGATTAGTTTGACACCAGCAGGTGAGGCCTCTGCCGGGGGCGGGGCGGGAGGGAGGCTGGCGGCCTCTGGCCCCCTGTCCTGTCTGGGCCTGCCCCACTGCCGGCCAGGCCTGCCTCTTCCAGCCTTTGGTCTGAGGATCTGCTGTCCCCGAATCAAGGCCAGGTGCTAGGAGGACAGCGGCTGGGTGGGCGTGGGAGACCACGGCAGTCTGGGAAAACTGAGGCGGAGGGCCTGGGTGGGCTGGGCAGACAGGTCCAAAGCCAGCTTCCCTCACACCGCGGGCAAGGACAGGACCAGGTCACTGGGCTGTCCACCCTGGTGCCACCTGCCACAGCAGCGACCAAGCGCCTGACCTGTGGCTCACCCAAGCAGAGAGCCCCAATGCAGATGTTTATTTAGTTTCATCTCATTTAAATTTTAAAACTGATCTCCAATTTAGTTATTTCATGGTTGGAAAACTTCCAAGTCTATCTGGAACAACTTGGGTGTGCCAATTCACATCTCCAATTATAAACTGTATGAAATTTAAGCACCGGCCCAGTATTTCTGATGAACACTTACTGTCTGAATTAAAATGGGTTGGGCGGGTAAAACACACACTGGATGTCAAAGTCAGAGTACAAAAGAGAGAATGCAGCTCAATAGCTTTATGTGGATTACGTGTTGAGGTGATCATCTTTTAGATATACTGGATTAAATAGAATGTTAGTAAAAATAAGTTCACTTATTTCTTCTTACACTTTAAAATGTGGCAACTATAAAAATGCTAAATGACATTCGTGTCTCCTGCTGGATTTTTATAGGAGCCTAAGGACACAGGCAGGGGCCTGGTTAGGAGATGATCTGGGTATGATGCCCAGCACAGAATCATCTGGGGTGAACTCAGTCCCCTTTCTGAATCTCGTTTTCCTCACCTGTGAAATGGGCCCATTTCCCATACCCACCCCCCCGGCACCATTTGGTCTCTAGAAATAAGCAGGAGGCCTTCGGATTTGGGGCAGGGAGGGAGGGAAGGGGCACTCACTCTGGCCGTATTGGCCGTACTGGTAGCCAGCCACGGGGTCCACGCTGTAGCCAGTGGTGCTGTAGGTGGGCGGGCAGTAGGACTGGGACGTGGGCAGGCTGTCTCCTGACTTGATGGAGTCGGCCCGCTGGCAGCTGGCCGAGAGAGAGGAGGCCGAGTCCAGGCCTCCGTGCAGCGGGGAGATGGAGAAGTCGGCCTGCGGCTGCGGCGCCACCGCGCTGGGGTTGCTCAAGATGCTCATAACCTGCAGGAGAGACGGTCAGCGCCCCGCCCGGCGGACAGACCCCAGGGATGCCAGCACGATCAAGGACCAGGCAGCCTTTTGCTGGGCTGGCTCCCCTGAGGTCCCTGCAACATCCAGGTCCTCAGTTTACCCGGTTTGTGAGGCCCCGTGTGTGCAGTGGTTACTGGTCTTCAGTGTTTGTCCTGCCCAAGTCCTGACTGTGGGGCCCCCCTCCACTGAGAGCTCTAGGGGGGAGGGCAAGGCCTGTGCACCTCTCTGTGCCCTGAAGGCCCAGCTGCTGAATGAATGAGCAAATGCATGAATGAATGAATGCACGCACGTGTGCATGAATGAACTAGTTTGTTAAGAGGCACCCTGTGCCTGCTGTCGAATGAATGGGTAAATGCATGCATGAACGCATTTGGGCATGAATGAACAGTTAAGGAAGCCCGGCTGCTGAGTGAATGAGTGCGTGCATGAATGCATGCATGCAGGTGTGCTTGGGTGAGCTAACTAGACACAGTGTCTCTCCCCTCAGGCAGGGAGCTCCCCTAGGTTAGGGAGCTCCCCTAGGTTAGGGAGCTGTATTTCCCCCATCAGACCAGGAAGAGCCCACCTTCCAACACAGACAGGAGAGCAGGGCTCTGTCTGCCTGGCTCCACCCGCTTTCCTGGGGTAGCCTTGCTCCGCTCTCAACTTCTCTGGGCTTTGAGGTTCTGCCCCTTCCACGCCAAAGAACACGGCCAAGGCTTTTAGAGAGCTTCCCAGGCTTGCTTTGGTCCCGCCAGCTCCCGATGTCTGTGACCATCACCCCCTCCCTGTGCGGCCTGGCTTGTCTCATCATCAGCGGTGGCACTCTGACCGACATGCGAGGCCTGACTCCAGAAACTAGAGAACCTGGTGTCAGGGTAGTGCGGTATTCACTTATTCATTCAACAAACAGGCATTAGTGGTAACTCCGGCCCCAAGCTTCAAGCTGAGTCCTGGGGGGCTTCAGGGAAGGAGTGAGAAGAACGCACGATGGAGCGGGGAAAGGTCCAGGCCTTGTGGGAGGAGGCAGCGGAGGCCGTCAAGACACGGTAACGAGGGGCAGGGTGGGCAGCGGTCCCGGGGGAGTGAGCGGGCTGGGGTCCCCATCAAACCCGGGGAAGACCCGCAAGGCTGGGGAGCGGCAGGTCCGTGCAGACCTGACGTACAGGGCCTGGGGCCCCGGGGACCTCCTGGTGGTGCCAGCCCTGACGCCCTCACCCTCCTCCCTGAGAGCACAGCCTGCGGGCATCCGGGAGGGTGCCAACCGGGTCCCTCTGAAGCCATCCACTCTCCTGCGTGGGTGTGCCCCGCTGAGGGCACCCAGGCCTGGCCACCGAGGCGGGCAGAGACAGGAGCTATAGCTGTGTGACAGTGAAGGGTGCCCCTCGGCTTCCGCGGCGGTGCCTAGTGCAGGGGGGCGGGGACGAGGGTGGGCCCTGACTCAGGGGGTGGCTGGAGGATGGGTGCAGCCTGCGTGGAGCGGGTGGTGCCAGAGCCTGGCTCAGCAGCTTAGGCTTTACTCCAGGAGGCCCATCTCTCAGATGGAAACACTGAGGTCCAGTCCTCACAGCAGGTATGTGAGCTGGGTTCACCCACCGCAGCACGGCCAATGCCACTGAACCCTTCGCAGGGTCGCACCCCCGGGACCGGCAGCTCACTTAGGGGCCTGGCTGGCCCAGTTATTCCCCTGCTCCCAGCACTGCCCCTTTGCTGGGTCACCGTCCTCTGTCCCTTCCTCCTCCAGACCCTGTGGAGGCTGCAAAGCGGCTGCCTGGGGCCCCACTGTAGCAGGGGAGGGAGAGGGTCGGGGGGGATGGGATGGTGCCCATCCCCCTGCTCCAAGATGGTAGACAACACAAGACAAAAACGGACAGAAGCCAGTCCGTTGGGGAGGGTCACTATTTTAGGGAGCAGCGCGTTCCTCAGCTTGCTCTGTACCCCAGAGGTCTCTGTCACTGCAGGGTTGACAGCGGGGTGTTGGGGTAGCCCGTGTGTGGGGTGTCAGATGCACCGGGCGGTGACACTGGCTCCCGGCCCTCAAGATGGGCTCTGCTCGGCCTCAGCGATTGGCTGTGGGGCCGCAAGGGGAGGAGAGAATCTCAGGGTAAACTGAGGAATGCATTCTCCCTCCCTGGGTGGTGTGCTGGGCTCCCAGGCTGGACCCTGCTTTCTACCTGGACGAAGGGATCAGGACCCATCCCACCTCCCACCCCACAAACACACGCTGTGCCCACAAGGGAGGCCTGGGCCCTCAGACACACAGGGAGGGGCTGCCACTCCGCGGAGACTCGGTTTGACCAGGCACATCACCAAAATGCCCAGCTCAGAGGGGTGCAGGGAGGGCGTAAGGGTGCTTCAGGATGGGCTGAGCGCTCTGCACAGACCCAGTGCTCATGCAGCTGGGACCCACAGAAAACTGAAAACAAGTCTGACCACATCAGTCAAGAATTATCAATGGCTCCTTAGTACCACTTAGCAAGGGCTTCTTGTGATCTGTTCTTTACCTGCCCATCCCAACGCCTCCCATTGTGTCCTGTGCTGCACTTCATGCTCCAACAGTACCAAACAATACGTCATCTCTTAGAGAGGATTTTCATTCATTCAGTTATTCATTCAACAAACATTTTGCAGAGTGGTACTATACGTGCCAGGCTCTACATAGGCTGGACTGCAAAGTCTCTGAGGGAAAGATGCTTAGAGTCTATCTCTGCAGCCCCACTGCCTGCATTATGCCCACGGTATACAGTGAGCTCAGAACAGCTCTGCTAAATTCCTTTAACAAATGTTCACTGAGCACTTATTATGTGCCAGACACTAAACTTAGGGACACAGCCAGCAGTGAGGATTCCAATTCCAGGAGCTGCCAGCCTAAAGGAGGAAGCCGACGACAAACAAGTGCACAGATAAACAGCATAACTTCCAGTTCTCATAAATAATATAGAGGGAAAATAAAAGGGCATGGTGGGTAGGTGGGGTCAGGTGAGACTTCCCCAAAGAAGTGAAACCCAGCAAGTCCAAACAGAACCCGCCAAGGGAAGCTACGGTAGAAAAGCTTGCCAGGCAGAGAAATCTGCACGTGCAAAGGCCCTGGGGCAGGAAAACACCGAGCAGCTTTGAGAAATAGCAAGGTCAGTGCTGAGAAGAGAAATTCTGGGAGCTGCCAGGCCTCCTGCAGTCCTTTGTTGGAAAGAGCTTGTATGGTGCCCTGTGGTTCAGAGGCCTTGGATCCTGGCAGTTAGCAGACAGCTCAGGAAAAGCTTGGGCCCAGGGAGCTTTTCCTGTAATGGGATTTGCTCAATGAGATTTACCCTGGAACATCAAATCAAATCCACATCTGGGGTAGGTGTGAATGGGGCCTGCCAGTGTTGGCCCAGTCTCTCCCAGAGTCCCTGCAGGCCCGCAGATCAAAGGGCTTCCGCTTCATCCCACCCCGTTTCTGGAAGAACAGCTCCCAAGCAGATGCGATGGTACCCGGATGAAGAGAGGCAGGAGGGGACACCCTGCTGGGACGGGACCACGGGCCCTGGGTCTTACCTGGTTACCTCAGTGGTTCCTCAAGCAAATGAGTTATTCTTACCCCCATTCTGCAGATGGGGAAACTGAGGCACAGGGAAATTAAAGCAGCTCATCCGAGGTCACAGCCCGGGAGTGGCAGAGCTGGGATCTGCACCAGGTCTCCCAGGTCCCCTGCTGCACCTCCCTCCAAAGCCCCTCCAGGAGGCAGGGGCAGGCACCCCAGAGGTCCGCGTGACCCCCTCCCGGCCTCCCACTTTGCCCACAGAAGCAGGAAGCACTGCCCACAGTGCGAGACCCAGCCAAGGTCTGGGGCCTGCAAACTTTTGAACTTGAGGAAGCCCCCGCCTGATGTGGTGACCCACCCCCCTCAAGAATGCCGAGGCCGCTCCCCGGGTGGGTTTTACGTTTTCCTGGTGACCTTGCTTTCACTAATGTATTACTTCTTGGTACGTTACCGTTACTAACTCAAAATCAATACCGACCTCCACATCTGTAAGGTTTTATCTGAAGGCAAATCTCAGGGCTGTCCATCAGACTGAGTGACAGCCGTCCCTTCCTCCCCCCCACCCGTCCCCACCCTGCACTGCCCCCCTTTCCTCCCCCTCTGCTCCAAATCAGTCCCAGCCTGGACCAGACTAAATCAATAAGGGGCCAGCCTCACCCTCCCTTCCGCCCCTGGGGAGAGGCTTGCTGGTTTTGGGGGTGGGGGCCCCCCTTCCACAGCCTCTGCTCACCCACCCCCTCCCCCGGGACGCGCCGGCGCGCTCCCCTACTTTAAAAGAAGGGGATGGGAAAATGTAATTAATTCCCTCCGTTCCTGAGCTGGCCCCGAGGGCCTGGGATGGAGGAGGCTGAGCTGCAAGGTCTGCACCCTCTGTGATAACCAAACGCGGCTTGGGGAGCGCGGCTGCAATTAGAGGGGCCATCCCATCATCCGGGCTCCACGGCAGGGTCCGGTGGGTGAGTGGGGGCCATGGTGGGTGCAGGGGAGAGGGAGGCGCAGGGGTCTGGGACTGGCAAGGTCAGGGTGGTGGGAGCTGGGGGTGGGTGGGCCAGAATCAGAACAGGGAGCCCTACTTCCGCACCACGGGGTGGGGAGTCCAACCAAAGTCCCCAAGAGAGATGGCAGTCTCACTGTGGACCCCAGCCAGTCCATGCTGGGTCTGGGGGCTTCCTGCAGCCTGGGGTTGAATATCTTTTCCAGCATTAGTGCCCTGTGGCTGCTGAGTTGACCCTGGCAGTTTCTCTAGCCTTCTGGGCCTCAGTCTTCTCATCTGTTCAGTGGGAGTTGTAGCTACCTATAGGATCACCGTAAGGGCCGAACAATCAAGTGAGTGCAGAATGTTTAAGACAGGGCTGCACCCCCCAGCTGTCCTCCCCCGATGCCTCTCCCACCTGGCTCACCGCTGAAGAGACGGGGAGAGGCAGATGACAGGTGTAGCCACATCTATCCTGAGATGCGAATGGCCACAGGA